AATTAGCTCAGGTCAGGATAATCATATTTTCTGTCTACACCTGTTAATGTTAGCCTACGTTGACTTAACATACACTGTTGCTAGGTAACAGACTGTTGTTAGCTAAATATTTAATGTAGAACAGTTGTTCCCAAACTTGGGTACGTGAGGCGACGGTCGCCGTGATTTTGCCAAGACATGTTCCTGGATCAACATCTTGGGAGAGTAACGTTAGACTACAATGCCGGCTGTTCTGACTCAAAGACTGTATGTACGTTTTTTATATTTAAAGAGTTTTTATATTTTATATTATATTGAGCAGTGTTGAGTAGCACTTGTTGTTTGTCATTTCTCCGATCACAAATGCAGACATGGTTTTATGTTTACGCGGCGCAATGCAACGCGTAAAAAGACAGTATAAGTCATTATAATCCGTAATTATGTCCCCACTGGATGCAACAAATGCCTCGTTTATAATGGGTTTTAATGTGTGTTTTTTTCCCTTTGGTTTTAATGTTTTTGTCTCGTCGCTCCGGGACACGGCATCAACAGTATGTGAGGGGCGTAACATTTCCGTCTCACGATTGAGGTATTCGGCCAATCACAACGCACTGGATAGCTGGCCAATCACAGCACACCCCGCTTTTCAGACCAATGAGGTTTCTCTCCAGTGTGGATCATCTCGTGCTGTTTTAAACACTGCGCTGTAGTAAAAGTCTTTTCACACTCAAAGCACATGTACTCTCTCACACCAGTATGTATTTTCTTTTGTACTTTTAAAGTTTGTAGAAATGAAAAACTCTTTCCACACAAATAACATGAATGTGGCTTCTCCTTTGTATGAACTCTCAGGTGCTGCTTCAGGTTTGAAGCCCTCAAAAACGTTTTGCTGCATTGATCACATGTGTATGGTTTCTCTCCAGTGTGAACTCTCATGTGAACATCAAGATAATATTTGCATGTGAAACTCTTTCCACACTGAGTGCTGGTGAAAGATTTCTTGGCTTTTCTTTTCTATAAATCTTTCTGTTTTGGTTTTTCTCCACTTTTGACATGATTTTTCTCCTCAAATTCACTAAATTCTTCTTTCTCCTCATTGTCTTCAATCAACTCTGAAACAAAAGTAAAAGCAGTAAATTTTCATTAATTCATAAAAAAAACTGAAAAGTGAAAGGACATGAAAATGAACAGCAGAAAGTAGACAATTGCATGACAAAATTTTTATCATTTTAATGTAATTTTATAAATTATACGTCCCTGAAACTTTCCATGAATGAGGTACATTGATCTACAAATTATTATTTTAAAAATATAATAGGCACAAATCTCATGTTTTATAGGGAGAACTATTTAATGTTTGTTCAACAACATGAAGGATCTGAGGATCCTCAAATACTAACTGTGTGTTGCATCAAGACAGCGACCATACATTTGTTATCTTTTTATTTTCTTGTAATTTCTTGTTAGATTTTTTTTATCAAACAATACATTATCATTTACCATTTAAATCATTTTATTATTTGATCATTTATTCATTCATTTTTTTTAAATATTTTTCTTATTATTTTCCGTTTTGTCTGAATGAATAAGAGATAAGAGGGAATGTTAATGGAAATTCAAGGTTTATGGAATGTTGTTGTGTTTGGTAAAACAATACTTGTTGGATTTGTGCTGGTCAGATGAAGTCTGAGCACTGAAACATATGCAACTAAGATTTTTCAATAAACTTAGCTCCTTTTTATCATCATCACTTCGTCTCCTGCTTCTGGTCTTCTCTGGCTTTGCTCAGTCATCTTCTTGGTTGATAGAAGATTGTTAATACAGTTTAGACTTGATGTTAATGGGTTTTGGGTATCGACAACCCTGCTGACTATTTGTTCAGACTGCTGACAAAACAGATATTTTCTGACAGGATCTGGCATCCGGGACTGGATCTTAACTATCTGGCTTGGAGACTCAATCTAACATAAATTTTGTTGAAAAAAAAAAAGTACTTGGTTCGTCAGAAGTGTCCCTAATTATTTGATGCTTCAGCAAAATTATTCAACAGCTCTAAATATTTTTCTTGTTACAGCTAGTGTTGGGGAAAGTTACTTTTAAAAGTAATGCATTACAATATTGCGTTACTCCATAAAAAAGTAACTAATTACGTTACTTAGTTACTTTTTATGGAAAGTAATTCGTTACGTTACTTTTGCGTTACTTTTTAAATCTGGACAGGGCTTGCTTGTTTGTTTTTAAAATAAAAAAGTTATATTTTTGGCAAATATAAAAGCCTTTTCACACCAAAAGTTAAATGAATAAGCCTCAGGCTGAAGGGAAAGTAAATTTACGTCCGTACAGTAGAATGCAGAAGAACAAATTTCAACACACAAATGTTTGTCGAGAGTAATTTGTGCTTATTAGTACGGTTGAACTGGATCATCGAAGGTCAGAAGCAAAGACTTTGGTTAATAGAATGGGATTAAATACATAAAGGATATTTGTGTCATTTAACATTTAATTATTGCAAGTTTGCGTCATTCTGAGTTGCATTATTTTTATTCATTTTGAGGAATACTGAATCTGTGTTTTTTTTGTTTTTTTTTGTGAGTGAGATGAATTAATGCATATTCATATTTATTTTAGAGCTACAGTAACATCTTCTGATTTCTCTCAACATGGGCACAGGAGAGCTGTCAATCAATAAATTGGAAAAAAAAGTAACTTGCGTTACATATTTGAAAAAGTAACTCAGATATTCTCTTGTAAATTAAAAAGTAATGCGTTACTCTGGCGGTTACTTGAAAAAAGTGATCTGATTACGGTACTCGCGTTACTTGTAATGCTTTACCCCCAACACTGGTTACAGCAAACCAAAATACAAAGCTGCCTGAAGCTTTATAATCGTCAGCATTATGAATGAAGAAAAAACACCAACCTGTTAGTTCTTCAGTATCTTCAGTGTGTTTGATTCTGCAGGGTTCTGGATCTCTCATCTTCTCTCTGTCCTCTTTAATAAACTCAGTCTTTGCAGATTTCAGCTCTTCCTGATGCTTTGATGCTCGTCTTCACTTGTGAACTGATGGAGATATTCCAGCATTTATTGCTGAATTACTGTGGGAGGAGCTTCACTGATGATGTGTTGCAGTGGGAGGAGCTTCACTGATTATGTGTTGTAGTGGGAGGAGCTTCACTGATGATGTGTTGCAGTGGGAGGAGCTTCACTGATGATGTGTTGCAGTGGGAGGAGCTTCACTGATGATGTGTTTGCAGTGGGTGGAGCTTCACTGATGATATGTTTGCAGTGGGCGGAGCTGATCTGCCAAAATAAAAAATATATCCGTTTTTAATATATCTATTACTGTGTCCAGATGTCAAATTTTAGTGTCTGCATCAAATTACATTTACAAAAGTGATTTTATATACATAGAAAATCAATTAAATACAAGTGTCTATATGTTTCAAATAATTTTTGTGAAAACAAAATATCAAAATATAGGTGAAATAATGTTCCATCATCATTCATCATCATATATATTTATGTAAAAATTAAACAATATAGTTATTCTGACCTGTAAAATATGTAAAAGAAAAGTGACTATATTCTATTACATTTGAAAAGGTATTGTTAACAATTGGGTAAAACCCAGTAATGTGAATGATAGTGGCAAAAATATGAAGATTTAACATATAAATGAATTAATATTTTGGGGCTACACTATATATGATCCTTAAATATACGATTTTAATATGTCATCAAATGATTTTTGTTCTAAATATGCCTGATATTTATTTTTTATTTATTTATTGCTATATAAACCCCTTTTCTGTCTTTGACTCATATACTAATTGACACATTTAAGCATCCACATCTATCTATCTATCGTAAACAACTGATGCAAATTACCACATTTTTATTTCTAATTCTAACATTATTCTGTTTATTTATAAAATTACTGTAGATATATAGAAATAGAAGAAAAAATAAACATTTGAAAGTATAAAGTCAGGGAAAAATTCACATTTGTAAAAAACAACCCTCAGTCTGTTGACACCAATGAAACGAGCTTTAAGTGTCCATTCACAGGAGATCTGAATGATGCATATGACGCGGATCTGACACATATCCGATTTTCTCCCAACTCTTTACTGTGAAAACAAAATATCAAAATATAGGTGAAATAATGTTCCATCATCATTCATCATCATATATATTTATGTAAAAATTAAACAATATAGTTATTCTGACCTGTAAAATATGTAAAAGAAAAGTGACTATATTCTATTACATTTGAAAAGGTATTGTTAACAATTGGGTAAAACCCAGTAATGTGAATGATAGTGGCAAAAATATGAAGATTTAACATATAAATGAATTAATATTTTGGGGCTACACTATATATGATCCTTAAATATACGATTTTAATATGTCATCAAATGATTTTTGTTCTAAATATGCCTGATATTTATTTTTTATTTATTTATTGCTATATAAACCCCTTTTCTGTCTTTGACTCATATACTAATTGACACATTTAAGTATCCACATCTATCTATCTATCGTAAACAACTGATGCAAATTACCACATTTTTATTTCTAATTCTAACATTATTCTGTTTATTTATAAAATTACTGTAGATATATAGAAATAGAAGAAAAAATAAACATTTGAAAGTATAAAGTCAGGGAAAAATTCACATTTGTAAAAAACAACCCTCAGTCTGTTGACACCAATGAAACGAGCTTTAAGTGTCCATTTACAGGAGATCCGAAGACATCAGCATAATAAATGAGGAGAAAACAGGAGCTATTGACAAAAAGTCATTTTTATCATTGATTGATTTTTTTTATTTATGATCCTGAAGGATGACTTATTCTTCCTCAAATCTGGCGAAGATTTTGTACTTTGCTGTATCAACCATTTCTGTGCCGAACACCTCATAATCTTTTTGTTTCCCAAATACAAAAGTGAACAGTTCGGCTGGAGAACTTCAGTCATATTCACCCATCCAGTTCTGCTATTTGCACTGGGATGCAATTTGTTGCTCCTTTTCCATTGAAAGGACAATGGGACATAGTATTTTTCCATCCCAGTTTCTCTTGCTACACCAGTCAGCTGCAGTCCTGGCGTCTCTCAGAAGAAGGATTTCCTGCAGTAAATAACAAATATGGTCAAATTATTTAATGTATACTGATGTTAATGCTTCAAACGTGTAGAG